AATAACCAGCTTACAGAAGAACATAAACAACTTGATGGAGTTGAAAAACACAGCACGAGAAGTATGTGAAGCAAACACAAGTTTTAATAGCCGAATCAATCAAGCAGAAGAAAGGATATCAGAGATTGAAGATCAATTCAATGAAATAAAAAGAGAAGGCAAGACAACAGAAAAAAAGAGTGAAAAGAAATGAACAAAGCTTCCAAGAAATATGGGATTATGTGAAAAGACCTAATCTACACTTGATCGGTGTAACTGAATATGATGGGGAGAATGAGTCCAAGCTGGAAAACACCCTCCAGGATATTATCCAGGAGAACTTCACAAGCCTAGCAAGGCAGTCCAACATTCAAATTCAAGAAATACAGAGAACTCCACAAAGATATTTCTCAAGAAGAGCAACTCCAAGGCACATAATCGTCAGATTCACCAGGGTTGAAATGAAGGAAAAAATGCTAAGGGCAGCCAGAGAGAAAAGTCGGGTTACCCACAAAGGGAAGCCAATCAGACTCACAGCCAGAAGAGAGTGGGGGCCAATATTCAACATCCTTAAAGAAAAGAACTTTCAACCCAGAATTTCTCATCTAGCCAAACTAAGCTTCATAAATGATGGAGAAATAAAATCCTTTATGGACAAGCAATTACTGAGAGATTTTGACACTACCAGACCTGACCTACAAGAGCTCCTGAAAGAAACAATAAGCATGGAAAGGAGCAAGTACCAGCCACTGCAAAAGCAAACCAGTTGGCAAAGAGCAAAAATGCAATGAAGAAAATGAGTCAACTAACGGAAAAGAAAACAAGCCAGTAACAAAATGGCAGGATCAAATTGACATATAACAATAGTAACATTGAATGTAAACCGCCTAAACGCCCTAATCAAAAAACAAGGACAGGCAAACTGGACAACAATTGAAGACCCATTGGTGTGCTGTATTCAGGAAACCCATCTCACATACGAAGACACACATAGACTAAAAATAAAGGGATGGAAAAAGATTTGCCAAGCAAATGGAGAGCAAAAAAAAAACAGGAGTTGCAATCTTCATCTCTGATAAAATGGACGTCAAACCAACAAAGGTCAAAAGAGACAAAGAAGGGCACTACTTAATGGTAAAAGGATCAAACCATCAAGAAAAGCTAACTATCCTAAATACATTAGCACCCAACACAGGAGCAACCCGATACATAAAGCAACTCCTGAACGACCTAAAACAAGATTTAGACTCCCACACAATAATAGTTGGAAACTTTGACACTCCATTGTCAATATAAGACAGATCAATGAGACACAAAATTAACAACATCATCCAACACTTTGAATGCAGAGCTGGACCAAGCAGACCTAATAGACATATACAGAACGCTCCACTCCGAATCCACAGAATATACATTTTTCTCAGCACATTGCACTTCCTCTAAAATTGAGCACATCATTGGAAGCAAATCACTCCTCAGCAAATGGAGAAGAATGGAAATCATAACAAACAGTCTATCAGACCACGGCGCAATCAGATGAGAACTCGGGATTAAGAAACGTATTGAAACCCACACCAACACGTGGAAACTGAACAACTTGCTTCTGAGTGTCAACTGGATAAAAAATTAAATGAAGGCAGAAATAAATATGTCATTGAAAACCAATCAGAACGAAGACACAACTTACCAGAATCTCTGGGACACCTTTAAAGCAATGTCAAGAGGAAAATTTATAGCAATAAATGCCCACATGAGAAACAAGGAAAGATCTAAAATTGACACCCTATCATCGAAATTGAAAGACCTAGAGGAGGAAGATCAAAAAACTCCAAAGCTAGCAGAAGACAAGAAATAACTAAGATCAGAGCCGAACTGAAGGAAATAGAGACACAAAAAAAACCCTTCAAAAAAATCAATAAAGCCAGGAGATTTTTTTTTGAAAAGATCAACAAAATAGACAGACCACTAGCCAGATTAATAAAAAAGAAAAGAGAGAAGACTCAAATAGATGCAATAAAAAAAGGTAAAGGGGACGTCACCACTGATCCCACAGAAATACAAACTACCACCAGAGATTACTACAAACAACTCTATGCACATAAACCAGTACGCCAGGAAGAAATGGTTAAATTCCTGGACACTTGTACTCTACCAAGACTAAACCAGGAGGAAGTTGAAACCCTGAACAGACCAATAACAAGGACTGAAGTAGAGGCAGCAATCAATAGCCTGCCAACCAAAGATGTCCAGGTCCACATGGGTTCACAGCCGAATTCTACCAGATGTACAAAGAGGAGCTGTAAAACTGTAAATCCCTTCTAAAACTGTATCAAACAATATAAAAGGAGGGAATCCTCCCTAATTCATTTTATGAGACCAACACTGATACCAAAACCAGGCAGACACTCAACTAAAAAAGAAAACTTCAGGAAAATATCCATGATGAAAATCAATGCAAAAATCGCCGATAAAATACTGACAAACCAATTGCAACAGCACATCAAAAAGCTTATCCATCACAATCGAGTAGGCTCCATCCCGGGGATGCAAGGCTGGTTCAACATACGCAAATCCATAAACGTAATCCATCACATAAATGGAACAAAAGACAAAAACCGCATGATTATCTCAATAGATGCAGAGAAGGCCTTTGACAAAATTCAACAGCACTAAAAACTCTCAATAAACTAGGTATCAAGGGAATGTATCATAAAATGATAAAAAGCCATTTATGATAAACCTACAGCCAATATCATACTGAATGGGCAAAAGCTGGAAGAATTCCCTTTGAAATCTGGCACTAGACAAGGATGCCCTCTCTCACCACTCCTATTCAATATAGAACTGGAAGTTCTAGCCAGAGCAATCAGGAAAGAAAAACAAATAAAGCGTATTCAAATAGGAAAGGAGGAAGTCAAACTGTCTCTATTTGCAGACGACATGATTGTATATCTATACAACCCCATCGTCTTAGCCCAAAATCTTCTCAAACTGATAAGCAACTCCAGTAAAGTCTCAGGATACAAAATCAGTGTGCAGAAATCACAGGCATTCCTATATACCAGTATCAGATAAACAGAGAGCCAAATCAAGAGCGAACTCCCATTCACAATTGCTACAAAGGGAATAAAATACCTAGGAATACAACTAACAATGGATGTAAAGGACCTCTTCAAGGAGAACTACAAACCACTGCTCAACGAAATAAACAGAGGGCAGAAACAGATGGAAAAACATTCCATGCTCATGGTTAGGAAGAATTAGTATCGTGAAAATGGCCATACTGCCCAAAGTAATCTATAGATTAACGCTATCCCCAGCAAGCTACCTATGACCCTCTTCACAGAACTGGAAAAAACACTTTAATCTTCATATGGAACCAAAAGAGAGCCCACATAGCCAAGTCAATTCTAAGCAAAAAGAACAAAGCTGGAGGCATCATGCTACCTGACTTCACACTATAGTACAAGGCTACACTAATCAAAACAGCATGGTACTGGGACCAAAACAGACATAGACCAATGCAACAGAACAGAGGCCTGGGAGGCAACACAACAAATCTACAACCATGTGATCTTTGACAAACATGACAAAAACAAGCAATGGGGAAAGGACTCCACCTTTAACAAATGGTGTTGGGAAAACTGGCTAGTCATGTGCAGAAAGCAGAAACTGCACCCCTTCCTGACTCCTTACACTAAAATTAACTCCGGATGGATTAAAGACTTAAACATAAGACCTAACATCATAAAAGCCCTAGAAGAAAACCTAGGCAAAACCTTTCAGGACATAGGCATCGGCAAGGACTTCATGGCTAAAACACCAAAAGCATTGGCAACAAAAGCCAAAATAGACAAATGGGATCCAATTAAACTTCACAGCTTCTAGAAGCACAGCAAACGAAGCAATCATTAGAGTGAATCAGCAAACAAAAGAATGGGAAAAAGTTTTTGCAATCTACCCATCTGACAAAGGACTTATATCCAGAATCTCCAAAGAACTAAAACAGATTTACAAGAAAAACACAAACCCATTCAAAAGTAGGCAAAAGATATGAACAGACATTTTTCAAAAGAAGACATATACGAGGCCAAGAAACATGAAAAAATGCTCATCATCACTGGTCATTAGAGAAATGCAAATCAAAACCACATTGAGATACCATCGCATGCCAGTTAGAATGGCGATCATTAAAAAATCTGGAGACAGCAGATGCTGGAAGGGATGTGGAGAAATAGGAACACTCCTACACAGTTGGTGGGAGTGTAAATTAGTTCGACCATGTGGAAGACAGTGTGGCAATTTCTCAAGGATCTAGAAATAGAAATTCCATTTGACCCAGCAATCCCATTACTGGGTATATACCCAAAGAACTATAAATCGTTCTACTATAAAGACACATGCACATGTATGTTCATTGCAGCCCTGTGTACAATAGTAAAGACCTGGAACCAACCCAAATGCCGGTCAATGATAGACTGGACAAAGACAATGTGGTACATATACACCGCGGAATACTACACAGCCATAAAAAAACGATGAGTTTGTGTCCTTTGTAGGCACTTGGATGAATCTGGAAGCCATCATTCTCAGCAAACTGACACAGGAACAGAAAACCAAACACCACATGTTCTCACTCATAGGTGGGTGTTGAACAATGAGAACACATAGACTCAGGGAGAAGAGCATCACACACTGGGGGCAATTAGGGGGGTTAGGGGAGGGACGGAGGGGGGAGGTGGGGAGGGATAACATGGGGAGAAACACTGGATGTAGCATACACCTAAAGTAAAATAAATAAATATATGTAATATATGTTTTGAAATGTGTCCATTCAAGATAAAGTGCTATATAGACTTAATTTCCCTCTCCAAGGTTTCCCTATGCCAGATGCCTTGGAGCCTGCTGAGGCAGAAAAGCAAGGGCCCTGGGGACAGGAAGGCTCGCTTCCCCTGGGAAGGAGGCGCTTCTCCCACACCCCGCCTCAACCCAGCCCCTGCCCCCAGTCTAGCTCCTGTCACCTCTTCTTCTTGTCTCTCTCATCCAAGTCAACGTTCCCGCGCGTAAGGATGAGCTGCACCCTGAAGGCGTCACCCCGGCTAGCCGCTCTGTGAAGCTTGCCGAGATGTTTCCCTCGGATGTCGTACCCACGCTGGGCGAAGGGGCTGTCATCGCACTCGGCGACATCACCCCTGCCACTCCTCCACCAGCGGGTGAAGAAGCCACTAGGCCCCTGGTCCTTCCGGTCCCGGGAGCCAGAGATCCTTTTCATGGCGGAGGTTATTAGAGCCACCTCAGCACCATTCCACCTATCACAGCCTCAGGGGCCCAATAAGACCAAACCACTCTGGTCAGCCACCACCTCCAACCAGGAAACTCCGCTCTTTCCAAAGTCAGAGCCAGTGACAAGCGAAGCCAAGCAGCCAAAGCGCGCCAAGCAAAGCCGGTAAGCCCGACCGCGCATGCGCACCTCTGACAGCTCCGTCACTGCGCGTGCGCAAAACGGACAGGTGGCCAACGGTTCTCAGCGTGCGTGCGCAAGGTCCACGTGTCAGAAACATCAATGACAGCTTGTCACCAGGTCTGCGTTCCCATCCCACGTCAGTGGGAGTTGGCAGAGTTTTCAGGACATTCCCTGAGACAGGAAGGCATCCTGAAGTTCCAGCTACTCTAGCGCCAGTCATGTGTGAAGACTGCGTTCCCATGAGGGAACACAGGGCTGAGGCTAGAGCAGCTAGAGAACCTTGGGATGCCGAAAGCCTCGCCCAGAGAAACACCCATGAAGACACTCTCTGGCTGGCGGAGCTCCGTGCAAATCGCGGCTGCAGCTCGGGCGCGAGCCAGGGCTGCTGAGCTCAGACCCGAGGACCTCAGAGTGGGCAGCTCGCCACCCGCTGCAGGGCCAGCGGGCCCTCGCAGCAAGGCTTCCCGCGCCCGCGCCCCTGGCTTGTGCTCAGAGCGGGGCCGGCTGGCCCCAGCGTCCCGCCATCTGCATAGGGCCCAGCTGCCCGTTCCACCCCTACTCAGCCACTGTCGCCGCAGCCAGGCCTGGTCGCCTCAGCGGAGACTGACCCCGGGTCGGTGCTGCTGGAGGAAAGACGGTCGGAGGAGACAGGGGTTGCATTCATCTCAGTCATATTAGAGGCTTTCCTCAGCCGTCTGGGGATCCTGCGCCATCTGCTCTATTTAAAAGGGCAAGACACTAACACGCTGATTGGAGGCGCAATCCCCTGATGCTTAGCAACTGTGAGCTTTACAGGAGGGCAATCATGGGGCGTTCCTTTAAAGAACATCCAGTATTTGTACAGTATCTTTGGGGAAACCGACCACGAAGGGAGACTAAAAAAGGTTTCTATAACCCTCTGCTCATCGAGTACAGCCCTGGCAGTCGGCATCTTGGAAGCTGAGCATGAGAAGAAAAGTAGCGGCCGGGCACGGTGGCTCACGCCTGTACTCCCAGCACCGTGGGAGACCGAGGCGGGTGGATCACCTGAGCTCAGGAGTTCGAGACCAGCCTGGCTAACACAGCGAAAACCCCGTCTCTACAAAAATTAGCCAGATGTGGTGGAGGGCACCTGCAGTCCCTGCTACTCAGGAGGCAACCCGGGAGGCGGAGGGTCACACCACTGCACTCCAGCCTGGGCGATGGAAGGAGACCCTGTCTAAAAAAAAAAAAAAAGAGAGAGAGAGAGAGAGAAAGAAAATGAAAAAAGAAAGAAAAGCGAGAGACAGAAGAAAACTAGAAGCCACTCCTGTGGCCCACTATCCATGGTGTCTGCCAAGCCAGAGACTTTTTTTTTTTTTTTTTTTTTTGATGGATTTTCCCTCTTTGTTGCCCAGGCTTGAGTGCAATGGTGCTATCTCAGCTCACCGCAACCTCCGACTCCCAGATTCAATGGATTCTTCTGCCTCAGCCTCCTGAATAGCTGGGATTATAGGCGTCTGCCACATACCCGGCTAATTTTTTGTATTTTTAGTAGAGACAGAGTTTCATCATCTTGGCCAGACTGGTCTCGAACTCCTGACCTCAGGTGATCCACCCACCTTGGCCTCCCAAAGTGTTGGAATTACACAGGTCTGAGCCACCACACCCAACTGATTTTCTGCTTTTTCAAATCTTACCTTTACCACTGCTTCCAGAAGTGCCTGAAAGTGCCAATTCCTGTGCCATTTAGAGGTTCTTCAGTGTAAAGTAGGCATTTCCCAGCAGACAGAGAAAACTGAATCCTAGGCCAGTGGTAGGGAAAACCAAGTCAGTTCCCACATGTCCATGTGCTTTTCAACTTCCTCATTTCACATGTTTTTATTTCCTTTCTCTTGATTTTTTCTAGTTTTTTTTTTAACATATTCTTTTAATCTTCTTACTTTTTTTTTACTCTCAAAGCTTCACTGACATGCCAGGTGATGCATACACTGAATCAGCTATCTCTACCTAGAAACTAAGCTGACTTTCAACCCCCAAAGAAATCCTAGTCCTAAATTAACAAGGAGAAACACAGAAAACCCTACTCCCCTTTTAGTCTCCTGATACCAACCAACTGTCCTCCCTGTGGAACTATGAAAGAGGAAAGTTCCCACGATCTGGCAATCCGGGCTGTAGCGGATTATCATAGCCATTGTTTGTGATTGCCCAGCCCCTCTCCGTTTGGTGGATGAGCAACTGAGGCAGACCTAACCAATCATTGCACCTCATTACCTGAGGCAGAGGGATTGGCCCAGGAATGCACCTATGCTTCAACCAGCCCCTATCAGAGTTCTTCCCTGGTATAAATATGCAGCAGTTGGGGAAAATAACTGCAGTAGAAAAGGGCTTTTAAGATGAAAAGTTGGGTGGCACCAGCGAGGGGCCCAGGCAGGAGATGCCGATGGGGCCTGAAGGACATTGCTGAGCCCCTGCCGGCCTGACCACATGACGGCTATAGGGGAGCATAAAGTGTGCGTTCTCCGGGACACCGGCGTTGGGAAATCAAGCATTGTGTGTAGATTTACTCAGGATCACTTTTACCAAAACATCAGCCCTACCACTGAGGCTTTTTTTTTTTTAGACAGAGTCTCATTCTGTTGCTAGGCTGGAGTGCAATGGCGCAATCTTGGCTCACTGCAACCTGCAGCTCCCTGGTTCAAGTGATTCTCCTGCCTCAGCCTCCGGAGTAGCTGGAACTGCAGCTGTGAGCCACCACTCCCAGCTGATTTTTGTATTTTTTAGTAGAGACCGGGTTTCGCCGTGTTGGCCAGGATGGTCTCAATCTCTTGACCTTGTGATCGGCCCGCCTCTGCCTCCCAAAGTGCTGGGATTACAGCATGAACCACTGCGCCCGGCCTGAGGCATCTTTTATGACCAAAGCGGCGCCCAGTGGAAATGACCTTCACAACTTCCTCGTGTGGGACACTGCCGGCCAGGAACGGTTTCATTCGTTGGTTCATGTGCTATGGAGGATTGGCAGCAGCTGATAACAGGATTCATTTCATACCTTGAAGAAGTGGAATGAAGAACTGAAAGAATACGATCCATAAAACATCCTAATGGTTCTTGCTGAAACAAGTGCCGTCTCTCAGATATTAGGGAGTTTCCCCTGAAGGTTGCTGAGGAATATGCTGAATCCATAGGTGCCACCATTGGTTGAGGCAAGGATAAAAAATGCTATTAATATTGAAGAACTGTTTCTAGGTATCAGCCACCAGATCCCAGCCTTGGACCCCCATGAAAATGGAAACAATGGAGTGAGGAGGCTTGTGGAGCAAACCATGCAAGCCAGCCTCAGATGTTGTTGACCCAAGGGCAACTGTTCCTGGTACTTGAAGAAGCCAGATCCCATGCCCTGAGAGCTGCTGAACGACCCCATGCTCGGTGGCCTGGCACCTCACTTTGAGAAGAGTGAGTGAGCTAGCTTTGCATCCTTGAAAACCTGCAGTGTGGGGCAGGAAATGTCCCTAGAAAGGATATTAGAAAACTCTGGGAAAACCCACCCCACCACCACAAAACAGTCATTAGTATGTGAAATGCACATGGGAGAGAGAATTCTTATTAGGTAATAAGCGTAGTTGCATTTTTGCTGAAAACTTTACTGCCTCGTTATGTGTATAGGGTTCTACAGTGGTGTTCCACTCAGATTTCCTGTGCTATCTATCCAAATTTCAGTTAACTTCTTCAGTGTCATTGCCTTTGTTACCTAACCAAACTTCACTGAAAGGCAGATTTAATTCAGTTGGTTACTTTTTACCTAGCTTTGGAAGTAAGACTTTATGTATTACTTTTCTGAAGGAAGTCAGAGAAGTGTCAATGGACCACCACTCAAACTGAGATTTGAGCTATTATAGAAGCTGGGAAACGTGTATCAGAAATTGTTGTCTATACTTCTTTTAATTGGTGAACATTTTTCTAAGTCATGGTCATATATAAACAAAAACAACGAATCAGACTAAATTATTGCAAAATTATTGTGATTTTGGAATTGGAAGGCCTAGTTCCTCAAAAAGCTAAATGGAATTACTGTATGATAATTACCATAACAGCTGTATTCACAATAACCGAAAAGGGAAAGTAATCCAAATGTTCATCAAAAGATGAATGAATAAACAAAGTGGTCCATGCATACAATGCAATATTCAAATATAAAAAGCAATGAAGCACTGCTGCATGCTGCAACATGAATGAGCTTTGAAAATATGATGCTCAGAGCAAACAAGACACAAAAGACTATATATTATATGATACCATTTCTATGACATGTCCAGAAGAGGTAAATACATAAACACAGAAAGTATATTAGCCATTGCCAGGGCTAGAGGAAGGAGGGATGGAGAAAGAGTAACAGCCAGGGTACAGATTTCATATGTATATATATATATAAAATATATGTATAATATATTATATATGTATTATATATAATATATGAATATATATTGTAATATATAATATATAATATATTAGTAAATTATTATATATTAATAAAATATATTATATATATTATAATATATAATATAATATATATTATTGCACTTTAGGTTCTGGAGTACATGTGAAGAACATGCAGGATTGTTACATAGGTACATACATGGCAATGTGGTTTGCTGCCTCCATCCCCCTCACCTACATCTGGCATTACTCCCCATGTTTTCCCTCCCCAACTCCCTACCCCCCGCAGTCCCTCCCCTACTCCCCCTCAACACACCCCAGTGTGTGATGTTCCCCTCCCTGTATCGATGTGTTTTCATTGTTCAACACCCGCCTATGAGTGAGAACAGGCAGTGTTTGATTTTCTGTTCTTGTGTCAGTTTACTGA